TGCGTCTGATGAAGTGGGCATTCACCCACGAAAGCTTATGCTCCAATACTTCTGTTAGTCTTAAAGGTGCCACAGGACCCTCTGTTGCTTTTTAGTCCTGTTTGTTTCTATTAAGCTTTTTTGTTAAATAACAAATTTTGATGAATAAGAGAAGGAAAAGATATTAAGTAGGTTTTCCCCCAGATGTTTGCTGTACATTTCCTTTCATAAGGTGGTCTGGGTGAAGGGTTTAGTGTAAAAAGGGTTCCTGATGAAATAGAAACATTTTTCCCATTTATAAGAGTATTTAGTGTCTTTGATTTGTGTAGCAGTTCTTGTCCCAAAAGACGTGGTGTTGAATTCTGTCAGAATGGTTACATTTTTACTGTGCTTCTGAGAAGACTGTTGAAAATGTGGCTAGATGGCTATATACCGCTGTTAATCCCAAGTTATGAAAGGCAGTGGAAATCCGACCACTGAAAGCAGTTGGCTAAAGCTTGTTACAAATCGCAAACAGCCTGTCTGATTGTGCTAAACTGACTTTCCAGTGAGTCTCCTGTTTGACATAATTTATCAGCCAGAATGACCTGAAGAAAAGCTCTGTGTAGCTCAAAAACTTGTCTTTGGTTGGTCCAGTGAAACATATTACCTCACCCACCTTGTCTTAGCCAAAATGTCTTCATTTGCTCAAGCTTATGAAAGTCAGTTTGTCTTCTTTATTCAGTTTTTATTTTAAAATGCATCTTTTTATATAAGTCCCTGATACTGTGTTAAATAATTTAGTTAGCCCTAATTTCAAGTAATTGTTGAGACATCAAGCGATTAAAAAAAAAATCGTGATTAATCGTGCGATTAATCACACTGTTAATAATAGAATACCATTTATTTAAATATTTTGGATGTTTTCTACACTTTCAAATGTATTGCTTTCAATTATAACATAGAATACTACAGGTACAATGCTCACTTTATATTTATTTTTGATTACAAGTATTTTCATTGTAAAAAAACAAAAGAAATAGTATTTTTCAATTCACCTAACACAAGTACAGTAGCGTAACCTCTTTATCATGAAAGTTTAACTTACAAATGTAGAATTATGTACAAAAAAAACCTGCATGCAAAAATAAAACGTAAAATTTTATAGCCTGCAAGTCAACTCAGTCCTTCTTCTTGGTCAGCCAATCACTCAGACAAACAAGTTTGTTTACCTTTGCAGGAGACAATGCTGCCCTCTTCTTGTTTACAATATCACCTGAAAGTGAGAACAGGCGTTCGCGTGGCACTGTTGTAGCCGGCGTCGCAAGATATTTACGTGCCAGATGCGCTAAAGATTCCTATGTCCCTTCATGCTTCAACCACCATTCCAGGGGACATGCATCCATGCTGATGACTGGTTCTGCTCGATAACAATCCAAAGCGGTGTGGACCGATGCATGTTTATTTTCATCATTGGAGTCAGATGCCACCAGCAGAAGGTTGATTCTTCTTCGAGTGATTGCTCCTGTGTATTCCACAGTAGGTGTGCGTGCTCGCCATGTGAACCGGTGCCGGAAGTTTTTCCCTTAGCAGTACCCGTAGTGGGGGAGCACCGCTGCAACCCCTGGAGTAGCGCCTCTATATCGCGCTATAAGGGGAGCTGTGCACTCCCCCCACCCTCAGTTCCTTCTTGCCGCCAGTGAAGGTAGTCGGAACTTAGTGCTCCAGCTCTGCTGCAGCACTGCAAACCTTAGTAGTACAACTCTTCTTAGTAATCCGAATTTCTAGTTAGTGGCCTGGCTCGGGGCATGCCCCGTGCCCCAGGCTTCAAGTCGTGCGACTCCTGTCGCAGTTCTATGCCCAGAAGCGATCCACATACTCAGTGTCTTCGCTGTCTGGGCGAGACTCACGTAAGTGAGCGTTGTAAAATCTGCCGGTCGTTCAAACCAAGAACGAAACGCGAACGAGATATCCGTCTCCGGGCCTTACTAATGGAGTCGGCATTGGCACCCGTACGTCATCCCGATCCGGCGCGTCTTCAGTGTGCAGCGACGCCCCATCAGCTAGTCGGCACCGCTCCCCCGCTAAGAAGCAAGGGAAGACTCAGCGGTGCCGAGAAAAGGACAGGGGCAAGTCCGCACCTGAGTTGGGCAGCCCACGATCCCCCTCGGGACCCAGACCTCTGACTCGCGCTGAGTGGAGTAGTCCGGTCCCGTCAGTGCGTGTCTCCTCGGCAGTGAGGGTACCATTGACGCCGGAGGCAGCGCAGGCGGCGCGTGATATTCTCGCCCTTCCGGTGCCGAGTGTGCCGCCCGAGATGGGCCCTTGCTCCAGAGGGAAGCCGCCACTGGGAGCTCATCGACCCTCCCCAGTTCGGCATAGCCCCCGCTCCGAGGATGAGGTGCCTACCCATTCTGCGGGGCCATCTCGTAGCCCGCGCCAGACGCCCACGCCGTTCGCTGACTCACCTGAGAGGGAGTCCCTTGGGTCCTCCGCTACCGGGAGGGGTCGCAGGCACCGAGGCAGGAGGCTTCGACGCTCCTCTTCCTACAGGAGTTATAGGAGCAGGTCTCCACGCCATCGGCACCGACGCTCAGACTCGAGTGATCGCTCCGACAGGCGTTGTTCACGAAGCACCCCTCGGCCAGCACTGGCACCTAACCGTCGTAGCCACGGTCACCGTGGTGACTCTGGAAGCAGTACCTCTGATGGGTACAGGTCTTCCTCGTCGAGATCTAAATCTCAAGGCCGGCACCGACGAGGCCGTGGACGTTCCCGTCGCTCGTGTGGCACCGTGTGCACGTCAGCAACGTTGTCCTTGGCACCCAGCCGCCCATCCCCGGGCCGCACCACCCCGCACTATCTAGCGGCTCTGCTAGGTCCCCAAGTGGGTCATTGGCAAGGGGCACCCTGGCATGGACAATGGTGTCAGTGGGCACCTTGGCCCCAACCGCCGGTACCAGCACGACCCCGTTCGGTGGCCGGGGCATCGCAGGTGCATTCAATGTCCCCGCCTCGACACCGGGAGCAGATCCGGTCCCTTCACCGGCACCGGAGGAATCCATTGTGGTGCCACCACCTGCCTTACAGGAAGACTTTAAGGCTCACCAGGAGCTCCTTAGGTGGGTCGCCTCCAATCGCCAGCTCCAGGCTGAGGAGATGGAGGAGCCGTCGGACACGTTGTTCCACGTCTTGTCGTCCTCGGCACCGGGCCGTGTGGCCCTACCTCTCCACCAAGGGGTGGCCAATATCTCCACGTCGCTTTGGCAAACCCCGGCGTCCTTGGCGCCTATTTCAAAAAAGGCAGAGAGGAAGTACTTTGTGCCAGCAAAGGGGCACGAATATTTGTACTGTCACCCGGTACCCAACTCTCTGGTGGTGGAATCGGTAAACCACCGAGAGGGGCATGGCCAACCCGCGCCCACCCCCAAAGATAAAGACGCCAGAAGACTGGATACCTTCGGCAGGAAGGTTTATTCATCCGCGAGCTTCCAGCTCAGGGTGGCTAATCATCAAGCCCTCCTGAGCCTCTATGATTTTAACCTGTGGGGGTCCCTGCCAAAGTTCAAACCTCTTCTTCAGGAAAAGGATAAGGAGGAGTTCAGAGCTTTGATCGACAAAGGCACGGTGGCGGCGAAAGCAGCCCTCCAAGCAGCTTCGGACGTGGCAGATACAGCAGCCCGTTCGATGGCCTCTGCTGTTGCCATGCGCAGGGCGTCATGGCTCTCGCTGTCAGGGCTGTCCGCGGAGTCCCAGTCCCTCATGCAGGACTTGCCTTTCGACAGGAAAGCCCTGTTTGCGGATCAGACTGACACCCATCTACACGGGATGAAGGACTCCTGCACCACCATGCAAACTCTGGGCCTATATGTCCCACCGGCTAAGGACAAACCCAGGCCACAGACCTCGGCTCCTCCAAGTAGGGGCAGATATGAGCCTCCACCTAAGAGGGCGAGGGAGCAGACACGAGCCTCCACCTAAGAGGGCGAGGGAGCAGAGGCGTCGATCCCAGCGCCAGTCCCGCTCGGCCCCGCGACCTGGGCCCTCCAAGGGCAAAAGGCAGGGGAAGAGGCGCTTTTGATTCTTTGCGGGGGGCCACCTGGCCTGTTGCCAGGAGAGCCCCCCAGTTAATAAAGTTTGTGTTCTGCAACCGTTTATCTGCCTTCCGAGTGCAATGGTCCCGTATAACGTCGGACCAGTGGGTCCTCAGCACCATTTCCAGGGGCTAAATGTTGCAGTTCATTTTGCCCCCCCTCCACCACCCCTCGCCCCCGGAAATCCCCGGGGACCTGGAGCACGCCCTTCTTCTGGACCAGGAGGTGACACGCCTCCTCACCCTGGGCGCAGTGGAGAAGGTGCCTCGGGAATTCCAGGGCAG